TAATAGCCAATTAACAAGATCAAACCCTAGGAAACAAGTGTAGTGGAGCCTCCAATGCCAGCGTCTGTCTAACATTTTTATGCCCTTTTCGCTTTGTAAATCTTCGGCAAGCTTCTTTAGGTCAATGTTGGACTTTTGGTACTTCTCCGAGTCCGAGAAAAGCGAGGACTGCAGTTCATTTTCTATGTCATTCAGCATAGCAACTTCAGGCCCAGCAGCTACTATAGCTGACGGATCGCGAGTGTGGTACTCAATTGCAAGGGGGTTTGGGTCTTTCTGTTTCCTTGATACCGTGGCTTGTAGGGGGCGCTCCTCGGAAGGTGTGTAGCAGTGCTTTTGCCATAACTGGGTTAGCTTCCTGATACCTTCCAGGCGAATCTCTTCTTCTGAGTCTTCGGCTAGCATAGGTAAGGGTCGTCGATTCACGGTTGGAATCTCGATAGGGATCAAAACGAAACGAGCTCTCCAGAAGCGTAGTACGTCAGACAGCTCATCGTGATATCCGGCCAAGAATGTGTCAATGAAATTCCAGTTGTACTCATTCCTTGGGGGGCGTAAAGTAATGTCTCGTACATCGTAGGTTTGCTCAAAAGCTGTCCGAATGTAGGCTCTATATGGAAATGGTTTATCTATGCTAGCAGATGACTCCAAGGCAGTAGTAGGCTTCCGATTATAGCGCTTCACTTCGACTTCGCCGCCAGCAACGCAGGCCAATTGATGGATGTTATTTCCAACGCTCATGAAGACTGTATCTCCATCGGAAGACATATATTCTGGCGCCAAGATGCTTCCCAGGCTCTTTTCCTGCCGTCCTGAAAATTCTGCAACTGGAGAACCAACAACAATTTGAAACCCATGAGAGAGACGAAATGCAATGAGTTCGCGTATGAGTGATTCTCTTGACTTGGGAGCCTCCACACCTTCGTCCTCTTCGTTCTGTGTGATCTTGTAGGGGCTCTCGTTATACTCTTTGGTTATTTGTTCGGCTGTGGGAAACCATTCATGTGTCAGCGGGACCGCTGCGGGAGAGCACAGCGACCGCCACTTGACGGTGCCAGTTTTGAGAGTTCTCGGAAAGACGTGGTGCCAGCGACGGAACTGGTTTCTGGGGTTTATACTGTTCTTCTTTGGGTTGCACGGGTTGACTAAAATGGCCCACGGCGCGATTGCACTCGTCGGTGATAACGTACGTGGGATTTCCTTTATGCCAGAACTTGAAGATAGAGTTGGCTTTGGTAAAACTGAGTCACCTAAAGCTCTCGAGCCAGCAAGTAGGAATGTAGATCCTGGATCCCTGGTGACAGAATTAGAGTGAGAAGGCACGCTTGCCCGTACTGTGTGTAGGCCCCTGACAGTTTCTGTAGATCGGGCAGGTTGGTGGGACGGTGGCAGATCCGATGGATCTGTACGGGATGCTGCTCTGATAGCGATTGGCTCAGAGGGTTTCTCGGTTGATGTCAGCCTTGTGCTTGCCAATCTTTCGGCGATGGCACCCTTTTGATTTTTCTCAACTGTCAACATTGCAGGTTTTACTTTCCCTTGACTGATGTCAATGGTTGCATCTGCTATGGTAGATTTTGCTGTTGCGGCTTTTCCGCCAAAGCTTATTTGTCTGAGAAACCAATTACCAGGCCTATTTTTTGCCTCAGCCTTGACTGGTGCAATAGCCAGAACTTGTGGCGCTGGTTGAAGACTTTTCCTAACAGGTGGTGGTGAATGACCTCTGCTAGGTGCTGGCGAGTGACGTAGTGTTGGTTGAATAGGGTTAAATTGATCCTGAGAATCCCCGGAGCCGCCTCGTCGATGGATGTTCGGTCGACCGACGTCCGCACTATTCCTAGCCATAGCCTTTTGCCTTTGAATAACATCGGCTCGCGGGACCCCCGAAAACTTTTGATTTGGAGGGTAGTGTGAACGATCCATTGGTTGTTGATCTTCTATTTCCTTTGACCTTTCACGGATCAGTTGGTGAAAATTGGCAGCAGTTGGAGGTTGAGCCGTCTTGCTGAATGGCGGACCAATACTACGGAATGACGTTGAAGAATACGAGCCTTTAGACATTTCCGGTGATTCAATAGTGTGTGAGCCACTTCGTCTTCGCTGATCTAGTATCGTGGACAGATCTGTGAGCGAGGAGAAAACTCCTTCATCGTAGGTTTCCATCCAGGCTTTCTGGGCCGCACTATTCCCATCAAGTTGCCGGTCGCCATACTCCCTATCACCCCTCGAAGAGTAGGATCCAGGTGTATTTATCGAGGTCTTTAATGCCGCCTTTCTTTCATCTGTTTTTATTTCCGATGTTCCGCCCATCTCGTGTACATAATGCGGATAGGTAGGGTCCTCTTCCAGATAAGGAACAGAAATGTCCCCAAGCTCGCTTTCCATGACACCCATCATCTGTAGTTCATAGAGGCGGCAGCGTAAAGCAAAGGTACGCCCCTTCTTTCGTGAACGTTTCATAATAATATCAGCCTTTCTAGGTCGGGTTAGATCCAAAATTTCATCGGCCATACCGGACCAGAAGGATACATCTACCCAATAAGGCATTGCGTATCGCCAGTCATCTGAACTCTCAAGAGGGAAGACAACAGGATCGTCTGACATAGACCTGGGTGCATTTGCAAAAGGTGGTCGCACCATCGAACCAAGTATCGATTCATATTGTCGGGGTGTCTTATCATCCAATTCCATGGTATTCTCGAAAGAAATACGACTTTCCTTTGTCCGTTTGGGCAGAATGGCCTCAATTTTAGAGATGGGGCGAGGCGTCCTGTACTTGAACAATGGCACAGAGTGTAAGGGCATTGGAGAAAGGCATACCAGGTCAATACCTATGCCTGAGCCCATAAGTGTATCTGTGGTTAGCTTCAGCATGTTATAGTCTACTTCGAAAACACCAGTTCCTGGAGTGACAACTATGATCGAGATTCCTGTTCGAACAAGATCGCGATCGATGTAGTCCTTGGCAAACTGAGCTGAAGCTAGGTTAATGGCCTCAAGGATATTGCCTTGACTAGCTGATGTAGGTCTACCAGCTACGATTGTGTCTGTGTTTCCACTGTCTGCTTCGTTTCTTTCAAACGTTTGTTCCTTATTAGGTGACTTAGGGACGATGGAAACTTCTCGCAGAAAAGTCCTAAACTCCTTCTTCAATTGATAAAGGATATTGATCCAATCTCCGCTAGCCATGTCACTCACAACGACGCGATAGTAATCACGAAAGTTCTCTGACCAAGGCTCAGAATGGATCCGGCTTGTTGTATCTTTAGGCGTGTCCTGGGGCGGATCAGACAGTGCCTCTTTTTCATACTGCATGCGAGTGAAGAGTATAATGGTGACCAGATGCCTCGCATTGATCCGCAACCACCTCTTAAAAAGGTCAGGAAGGAAACCCCCCACGACTTTATTGAACATGATCTCACCAGCGCCCTCTGCGTCAAAATCCCACATCTCCTTGGACATTTGGATGAAAAGAACATATCGTGCGGATTCGCTGCGGAACACAGGTTTGGTTCGAGGAGAAAAGAATCCAGACTGAACTGACTGGCCGTTGATATAAATGTGCTTGATTGTCGCTTTGATTGTGCCAATAAAAAGCAATTTTTGGCCTTTATACACCGTCCTTTTGCTGAGCTCGGAGATTGCCATGCGCCACATGTCTGCACGTGCAAGATATTCATCACGAAAAACAAGCTCTACATGGTGTGCTTCGTGTCTTTCCTCATCAGCCTGTGGATGTCAGCTATTAGGTTGCAGTAGCATTCATCAATCCATACCTCTCCAACAATCACCTGCATCCTGTTGCGGAATCCAAAGACTTTTGCTATTCGTTCCGAAATGGATACCTGTGCCAAAAAATAAGCTTTCCTCTGGAATGTTGTCAAACCCTACTTGCCTGTAAGTTCGCATATTTGGATTTTAGATCTGCAGGAAGTGCTGTAACAGCGAACACATACGCTTTCTCTGCACCAACTTCTCGTCTACCAGGGATGGCCGATCCGTTCTCGTCTACAGTTATTGTCGTAGACCCTCGACGGGCCTTCCTGGGTAGGCCATTTGCGCTGGCATCCCTTCCGTAAGTTTCACCTATTGTCTGAGAGCCATCAAGCTGTGTGCTTTTCACAGTCGTTTGAAAGTCACGGACAGCGGTACTAGATTCGATGGCTACTATCTGGAGTAAGGTCCCAGGAACCGTGGGAATTTCTGGAAACTTATCCCCGTTGAATACAATATCGTCTCTCGAAAAGTTGTCGTCGTGAGTCCATAGAGTGCATATCTTTTGCACTCTAGTTGGCTGGGCGTTAGACATAGATCTCGGCATGTTTCTGTACTATGATTTGAGAGAATTATTGGAGGCAGCAGATCCTCATGTCGCAACTCGAGGTTCGCCGGTTCGCTGTTGAAAAGCAATCATCATCAGGGTAAAGGCTGCTATGTTTGCCAGAAATAAGGTAAAACGAAGGTCACCATGTAGAATTTAACATATGGGTGGGCTTTTTACTAATAATGTCAAAGCTAGGTTTATTTGACAGAATGTGAGAGTACAACGCGACCACCACGCGGCATGGAGAACGAGAGGATTTGCCAAGCCGCTATTACATCAGCCTGCGCTACCAGCAATTGCTATCAATCCCATCAACATCGATGTGGTAGTGATACCCGAGCTACATCTCAATCACTCTCTAGAAACTGTGCAGTAAGGTATCAGATATTACAGCCCACGCTAGGAATTATCAAATCGCCAAATCACTGCCATGTGAGGTAGGAACTCATAGTGCGAGATAGTACGAGAAGGCGTGTAGCGCGAGCATATCTATGACAAGTGCACCCGCTTTAGTGTTGGAAAACTGGAGACACATGCGAAACAGCCGACGGAAGCCGGTTTCATTGACCAGAGCAAACTGCTATGCTTGGAATCCCAATACCGATGAAAGAGACCCTTTATCAAAGCCGTCATATTGCATGTAAATCATGAATTACCATAAATGAGGTCCCTCACCGGTCTAATAGTGTAGTGGTTATCACTCTGGATTTTGATCACCATAGTCAAGATTTCCAGTAACCCTAGTTCGAATCTAGGTTAGACCTTAATTTTTGTTTTGGCATTTCGGCCCCAGAATCCAAAAGTTCGATCGGGACAGTAACCCCAGTTCGAATCTGGGTTAGACCTCATTTTTTTGCTCCTGTGAATGCCTTGTCTATTACATCCACATTATTTTTGTAGGCAGAGAAATAATAGACTTCATTTTTGCAACGCCAAGTTGTGTTGAGAAAATATCTCTTCAAAGGAGAGGGTGTGACAAAGCATTGAAGGCAACGAAGGTAGTATTGCAGATTGATCCTTATTCTTATTCCCACCCCTAAGAGCATATTATGGTAGTACTCCTAGACTTCAATATTTACCCGCTTCACTAGCAAGCTGGAGCGCCAAGTAGAGGCTTCCCGCAGCCAGGACGCCCATCAGTCCAACAGCCATTATGACTGCAGCGAAAGGTATCAAAGATGGACGCGCCTTTTGTCGAAACATAGCTAATATCGCTGTCTCCAGTCTCTCACCCATCTTGTCTTTCGAAAATTCCGCGATCACTCGTTCTCTACCCCACTTGCCCATGTCTTTGAGTCTTTGCTCACCCTCGCCATCCTCCAAAGCTATACGCATGACCTCAGTCCAATCCTGCACCCTACTGACGTCCCTCAGCCAACCGGTCTGGCCACTGATGGCCGTCTCTGTCGGGCCACTGATGACCGTCTCTGTCGGGCCACCTTCATTCGCCGCCAACACTGGGATACCAGCCAACATGGCCTCGAGTGGAACAATGCCGAAGTGTTCATTTCGTGGTGTGTAAATAAGCAAACGAGACGTGGAAAGGAGGGTAGCCTTAAATGCACTCGGTACGGAGTGGAGAAACAGAATGGAAATGTCATTGGGTACGCTTTGGGCGGAGGTTGCCGTTTTTGCTGTTGCGTGTTTTAGTTTTAAGGAGTCTGCGAGCTCACAAAGCTCCATGTACGTGTTGGCATTTTCTGTAACTCTTTGGTCGTATCCGCCTGCGATAACGAGTCGCGCATTCTTACGCTCTTCAGAAGATAGCCCGGCGTATGCTTTGATAGCTAGTGCAACATCTTTTTTCTTCTCGAAGCGGTTGATGCTGAGGAGCACCTTTTTCCCGGGCCACGGGGCTTTTGCAATTGCAATTATCTCGCCCGCAGCTGTATCTACCGATGGATAGACAACGCCTGGGCTGCGACGCTTTAAGCTAGGGAAAGCCTTGGCAAACACACTCTTTGTGAAGTTACTGTTCACCACAATGGTATCGCTGCAGCCCGTACTCCAACTCTCTAGCCAATCAAAGGGCCCTCGATAAAGTGTTTTCATCCATCCTCCTTTCTTCGCAAGCAGCTTGTCCGGGAAGTGGCAGTAGAATATAACGCGGGGGCGGGGTTGGAGGAAGCGTAGAAGGGGTATGCCAGCGCTAAGCTGGTCGACGAAGAAGGAAGTAGGCGTGAGAGATCGCAACTCATCTGAGAAGAGGGCTATCTGCAGAATCAGGTGCACCTGGCGTAGGATAGCGCAGAGGATAGCGAATCGTCCCAGTATGGTTGAAGGAACGATGGTGTTGCCACGCACGAGCACTTTGAGGGTTCCTTTGGGGCAGGGTCAGGTCTCAGCTGCCTTATCTATGCATAAGCGGTGGGTGGGTGATCGTTAGGAGCAGCGGGAGCTTACCATCACGAGCCTCATCGAAGCAGTGCGCTGGGTCGCAATGCGACGTAAAGATAGTGACTTTGTGTCCGCGGTTTTGGAGGGCGACAGCAGCATCAACGACAAGACGTTCAGCACCGCCAATGCCCAAATCGGGGTGGAAAAAAACTATGTGTTGTTTCTGATCTGTCATGTTTATTGTGTTGTATCCAATCTGGGAACACGGTGGTTGGATATGTTGGAGTGGCTATGTATCGATGCCCACCTTGCCGGTTTAATCCTAGTGGCTGAGGCACCATTGTGACCAACCGCAACAGCACATGACACAAAACAACAACATCATCTCGCAATTACTGTAACACAGTCACGTATGGCTTTCAAGACTTCAAGACCTACATTACCGTATCATCTACCTCGTTGATAAGCGCGTTTTTCATTATGCGGACCGTGAGGCATCAATATCGCACTTCGTAGTCCCCAGGCTTCAACTCTATACACCTACACCCGCCATCATGGGGCAGGGCTTCTCACTCACCACGCTCTCTGCCGGCTCGGCTAATATAGATGTACCGGAGCTTGCTGACTTGCAGTATGAGAAATCGCTTGGAGCTGCTCGCTTTATGAAGGCTGTCAGAGCACGCCACAAGCATGGTTTGGTGGTGGCGCGAGTTGTCATGAAGCCCTACGCACAATTCAACTTCCAGGTTTATGTAAAGCGTCTTCTAAGTAAGGATTATTGGATCTATTTCTCTCTTATAATACTAACTTCATAGATGAGCGTAAACTGCTTGCTGAAGTTCCCAATGCTTTGGCGTACCACCGCATTATTGAGACGGCAGCTTGCGGCTATTTAGTCCGTCAGTACATCCACAGTTCTTTGTATGATCGCCTGAGGTAGGTCAATGCCCTTGCTACCATCTAGGTGTGAATCTAACTTTGAAAAGCACACGTCCCTTTTTGGAGGAGATTGAAAAAACATGGCTCTCCTTCCAACTCCTCTGTGCTGTACGTGACTGCCACGCCCGGAACATTTTCCATGGCGACATCAAAACGGAGAATATACTAGTGACGTCCTGGAATTGGCTATATCTTGCTGATTTCTCCTCGTCTTACAAGCCAGCACACCTGCCAGAAGACAACCCCGCAGATTTTTCCTTTTACTTTGATCTCTCTGGACGTCGAACATGCTACCTCGCGCCAGAGCGTTTCCTTGCTTCTGGGCAGCAGCCTGAAGGCGTAGGGGAGGTGAACTGGGCTATGGATATATTCAGCGTTGGCTGTGTCATCGCAGAACTCTTCCTTGAGGCGCCAATATTCTCGTTGAGCCAGCTGTTCAAGTATCGGCAAGGCGAGTACGATCCAGAGCACTCACACTTAAGCAAGATTCAAGACCCCAATGTCAGGGAGCTCATCTTGCATATGATCCAAGTGGATCCGAATTCACGGATGTCTGCCGACGATTACCTTATGCACTGGAAAGATAAAGTATTTCCGAGCTACTTCTACGGGTTCTTACAGCAATATATGCACTCTATCACCGACCCATCATCGGGCCGCAAACCAGTCACAAACGGAATCGAGCATCTCGGAGAACCCGATGATCGTATAGAGCAGATATACAATGATTACGACAAAATTTCTCATTTGCTGTCAAGTGGCGGCGGAGAGAAGGCACTTTCTAAACCTCACAATACCCCTCCAAAGCCAAACTCGAGAGTATTTCCACTCTACGTCAACATTCCAAATTACCAACATCAAGCCTCGCCTGCCCCAGGCCTTGCAAGCGACGACGGAAACCTCATTTTCCTAACCATTGTCGTCTCTTGTTTACGAGGGACAGCAAGAGCATCGGCGCGTGTGCGAGGATTAGAACTTCTCATGGCTTTCTCAGAACGCTTGACTGACGAGGCGAAACTCGATCGAGTCGTTCCTTATGTAGCTCAGTTACTGACTGACAGGTCTGAGCAAGTTAAAATTGCTGCATTGCGCACACTGACGCAGATATTGTCCATGGTGCAGGTTGTTTCCCCGCTAAATGCGTACATTTTCCCGGAATATGTGCTTCCACGATTGGAGGCTTATCTGCCTGACTCTACCACCATCAGCCCTCTTGTACGGATGCAGTACGCATTCTGCATTGGTACCCTAGCGAGTACGGCTGCCAAGTATCTTGATATGATTCAAGCATTACGGGCAGAAGGCTCTTTACCAGCAGCAGACCCGGAGACTGAAGACGATCTGTCTTCCTCCGCTCACCGCAACCAATTTGACTCAGATCGTCGCAATTTGCTCGAAACTTTTGAGAAACATACCAAAGCCCTCTTGACTGACTCCGATGCCTCGGTTCGCCGAGCTATGCTTCGGTCTGTAGCTGATCTTTGCGTGTTCTTCGGGAGCCCAAGGGCAAACGATGTAGTACTCAGCCATCTCAATACATATCTCAACGATCTAGACTGGATGCTCAAATGCGCCTTCTTCGAAGCTATCGTTGGAGTAGCGGTTTTTGTGGGCGGCGCAAGCTTAGAAGGGTACATCCTGCCACTCATGGTACAGGCTCTCACCGACCCAGAGGAATTCGTCGTAGAAAAGGTCATTAGAGCTCTTGCTTCTATGGCAGAACTTGGTCTTTTTCAACGCTCAAAGACTTGGGAACTGGTAGATATCGTGGCTCGGCTCACTATGCACCCTAACCTCTGGATTCGAGAAGCAGCTGCACACTTCATTTCAACGGCCTCTAAATATCTATCCATCGCAGACACTCACAGTATACTGGTAAATCTTATCAGACCGTATCTCAAGGTTGTACCATCAGAGTTTTCTGAGATCAAAATTCTCGAATCGCTGAAGGTCCCTCTTACAAGACTACTCATGGAGATGGCCTCAAACTGGGCTTTGCAAGCGCAGAAAGGACTATTCTGGGCACCCGCTAGGCAACAACAAACTTTCACGTTCGGGACGAATGAGGATAGTCTGCCCACCATATCTGGTCGCGAATTAGACAATAAAATCTTGCAAAGGTTGCCTAAGAATGAGGAAGACGAATTATGGCTGCGAAAGCTCCGCAACGCTGGCTTGACGGCTGAGGACGACTTTAAACTGGTCGCATTGAGAGAATTTATTTGGAGAGTCAGTCATCGCCGTCGTTCAGATGTTCTGGCGACGCCACCCACAAGGTTCAACAATATCGTCGCTCTGAAGGACTTGGGTGTTAAGGCCTTGACTGTACTTTTCGATGAAAATGTCAAGCAAACTGTCGAGCAATTACGGAATCCAGAACGGCAGCACGACGCACAAACACAACCTAGGACAATCCGTGATGCTTTACTCGATGCATCTACCACCGAGGCAGATGCATTAGCTGAGCGAATTCCGCACGCGGAAAGCC